CTCGCTTTCTCAAAGAAACTGCTGACATCTTTGTTGCCTTCCTCAGCTCCCCTCTGGGCTAATGAGCAAATAGCCTTCAATAAAAGCTGAGTGGAAGTGACATCGAGGCCATTCACTGGAGCCTTACTAATGGGCGATGGCTCCCTGTGTATCCACCTTTGAAAGTTCCATTCTGTGTGTCCTGTCCTTTGTCTCTCTGGCTTCTGACTTCACTTTTCTTTAGTCCACCACTGCCAGCTTAACAGGCCTTAAAGGACCAGGCTACCGGGGTGGGTCCCCGGCACTAATGTATTATCAGAGTTAATGAAAAAGGATACAATTTACATCATAGTTATTCAAAGAAGATTAAGGAATGCTGCCAGCAATGACTCTCTGTGTAGTGAGACTGTCAGAGGGTGGTAGCCAGCCATGTGAGTCAAAAGCCAGAGAGAGATCCTGTCTCTAAAAATGGCTGAGCATTGTGGTGGGTGCCTGTAGTCCCAGCTACTTGGGAACCTGAGGCAAGAGAATCACTTAAGCCCAAGCATTTGAGGTTTCTGTGAGCTGTGATGCCACAGCACTGTACCAAGGGTGACATAATGAGACTCTGGCTCAAAAATCATGTTTCCTCCTAAGTTCTCCTTGCACTAAATACATGTCCATAGCTACATCAAGTGACAGTTACTTTTACTTTATTTGAGTACTTTACAATAATGCTAAATAATTAACATTCAGAATTCTGACAAAGAAAATAGCAGACAATAAACAAAAAGTGTCAGAATTATATAGTCAATTATTTTATGGTGTTGTTTCATGTCTGAAGAAGTGGATGAAGTGAGAAACAGTAAAATCAGTAACATTAAGTTCTCACTCTTTAATCTGCTTCCAGTTCCAAGGGTGTGGCAATAGTCTACTTATTTTTTTCTATTTATATACTTTATTTAATCTTGATACCTTCCTCTGCCCTGTAAGCTACTGCAACTGCATTCTAAATGCACCTAGAGTCCGCCCTCCATACCTGTGGGTTCTGTCTCCATGGGAAATATTCAGGTAAAAAAAAAAAAAATGGATTCTGCTTCTGTACCAGAAAGCTACAGACATTTTCCTTGTCATTATTTCCTGAACAATACAGTGTAACATCTGTGCACAAAGCACACAGTAATAGTAGGTATTGTAAATAATGCAAGGATGATTTAAAGTACATGGGAGGACGTGGATAGGTTAGACACAGATACTAGGTCATTTCATGGAAGGACCTTGACTGTCTGTAGATTTTGGTATCGCTGAGAGGAGTGATCCTACCCCCAGTCTCCCATGGACACTGACAGACAACTGTGCTTTGATTTGTCACAAGTACTTCTGAAATATATCAGCTATCTTATCAGTCACTATTTACCCTGTATCTCCATACACCGCAAATAAATATTCATTGTCTATTATGTGTTTGGCATTGGCCAAATATTAAGAGCCAAGGTCACTCAGTCAAAATGAGCTTTCAGGAACTATTTAATAAATCAACCAAAAAAAATTATTCACTGGTAAATTATCCTTCTTTCTGGTGGTTGTGAGAGCAGTAGAGAATGGTCTGCTGCTACCGTAAACTAGTGTAATAAATAAACAAGATGGCCAGTTGTCAAGTGGTAAAAATTACACCATTGAAAATGCAATTGGGTTTCAGAGACCTTCACACTTACACTGTTTGCAGTGAGGAGAAACAGTATTTTATAGTTGAGCCTTGAAGGTCACTTTTTTTTTTTCTAACTGTAATTGAGAACTTAAGAATAATCACTAGTAACCATCATAAAAATAAGAATATAGATCAACAATTAAGCTCAAATTAAGTAGTAAATTTATATATTTTCAGTTAACACAGTACGGGAACTGTGTTTAGCTAATGAAATCATCAAGTTTGTTATTGAAATTGAAAATGAAATATTTATATAGGTGTTGACCAGTGGTGTCCATTATTCACACATGAGCCATTTATTCTATTTTAGATATAAAGTTATAACCAAAGTAGTCAAAATACAACAGTTGCTTACAATTTAGCAAACATTTAAATGATTTTGATCGTAATAATTTTAAGTCATGATGATTAAAATACAAAAATGTACGGTTAAATGGTGACATGTCCTATCACATTGATTAAATATTTATTCCTAGGACATGTAAGAGATACTTTCGGGAGATGATGCTTTATCACATTTAGTTTGCTTCACTATGTTCTGTGATGGGGTAGATCTGAAGCCTGGCCTCACCTTTCAGAGTTGGAGTAACAGGGAGAACTGAGGAAGCAAGAGAAAGCAAAGCATACACAATCGCCAACCAAAGGAAAGTTCTTCCCTGGAGCAGAAGCCCTGGGCTGTAACCACAGGAAGCCACCAGCTCTGATGCTGGCTGAGCACATGGGTTTCAGGGACAGATTCATCCAGACACAGTGGTGTCTGACCGGAAGTGGACTTGTTTATAGAATGACCACAGTTTTATTTTATCCTCTTGTGATTAAACACTCTTAGCTACCGCTATTAAAGAAGGGATTATTCTCCTGGGCTGGTCTCAGAATATTCCCCTCACCTTTTATTTTTGACTGAAACCAGGCCTCCCCCCAACGCCCCAGCTTCCCTGGGGGCGCCCGGGGCACAGCACGGTGATCACTCACCCTTTCTACCAGCACTGCTTACTCTTTGAACATTTGAGCTCCCAACTCGTAGTTGCTCCCCCTTATAGCTACTCTTGTCTTAATTCTTGACAGTTTAATGCCACATGGACACGGACATGGACATATTCTGTCCCCTTGTCACCTCTAGTGACCACCTTCCGCACCCCCATGATCACTAACGGGCACGGACGCTGTCAGTAGCAGCATCCACACTCTGTCCGTGATCTCACGTCCAGGAATTCCATCTGCTGAGCAGCCCCCCTGCCTTTCCAGCTCATGTACTCTCACTTACATGACCTTCTTTCCGATGATGAGGGTCTGGCTGCTGTCACTGTCAGCAGAGATGGGGACAGGTCCACCAGGCTTTATTAGCAGAAGGCCGGAAATCTCAGAAAACAGTGAGAGTGGCCTCTCCAGGGGGCTCTGTTCTTCCATCTTCAAAGCCACAGTTTTACACATACAAGTTAAAAGCAAGAACCTTTCTGGACCAGTTTTGTGATGTCGGCCCGGCTGATAACTCCCTCGGTCCCATACTCACCGGTGCGCTCAGTCCCACCCAGACATGATGGAGTCTCTTGGTCCTTCTTTACCCACCTCATTCCATTCATGTCTTCATTTTATTCCATTCCCGCATGAGACATTTCCGGCCATCATTACAAGAGCTCCTTTGTAAACACACACTTTTCTTTATCTGTCACAGTTCATTGCCTCTTCTCAGCAAAGTCCAGGCCCTGCTTCCACCCAGCTCTGTCCCTCCTGTGTCTGTGCTGATGTTCCAGACAGCTGACCCCAAAACACGGCATGCTGGCTTTGTCAGAGACAGGAAAGCTTCTGTGACCTTCTCCTGCCCTTCTACCTTGAAACAGACTATAAAGGAATTCCCTGACCTTCCTCTGAGTAAGTCATAAACCTTCATTTCTGTATGGAGGGGAGAGGGGCATCCTCATTGTCAAAGACGCTGAACGCAGAGAGAATAACCAGGGGGCCTCACTAACTCACCCCCAGTTTACTGGCCTGACATCAGACCTTTTTCCTCTCCAGTCTTATATCTTCATTCTTCATCAAACTTAACAAAAATACACAGACTCCTTTGCCTGCTTCTCTGGGTCTTCTTTTCTGAAGGTGTCTGTATCATGTAAAATGTGCATTAACTGAATTTGAATGCCTCTCTCTAGTTCATCTGTCTTTTGCTATAGGGACCTTGACCACCAAACTAGCAACTGTGAGGAAAGAAATGTGTTCATCCTCAGCACAGAAACACACGCATCTCCTTGACTCTCTGTGTGACTGGGTTTTCCCTCCCACTAGGTAGGCGTCCTCATGATAAAAGCGTGCTCAGGCTTCCCGGCTCCATACTTCTCTCCACCTGCAACCACATTCCCCGATTTACCACGTTGAGTTCTTTCTTGATTCCTTTCATGGAGTTTTTGCCCTCAGGCCACTACAGCAGTTTCCATTGAGACCACCAGTGCCTTCAGCTTTGCTCCATATGGAGCCAGGTTCTCAGGCAGCATTTTTGACTTCCCTGGAGTGCTGGACACAGCTGGTCACATTCTCTTCTTCAGAAGGCTTTATTTGCTCGGCTTTGGGATATCACATTCAGGTGTTTTTCTATTATTCTTTGGGCACTCTTCCTTGGTCTCCTTCTGTGATTTTACCTTTTTTTACAAGTTCTAAATGTAGGAGTGCCCAAACAGTGTCTACAGAAAGTTTAGACCTTTCCTGTCCTCTACACTTAACACCTTAGTCATCTCAGCCCAGACAAGCCAGAAATTTATATAACCAGGTCAGATCTGTCTATTTGATGGGTACAACTCACAAGTTCTTCTGTAACACTGATATTAAGAATGAAAATTTGTTCCAAAGTGACCGATATTAGGGCACATTTTGAGCATAATGCTAACTTTGAATTCGGTATTAACTATGCCACTTTTATTTTATTATCATATTTATTTACATATGTTTCTTAAGAGCAGAGATTTTAAATTTGTTTCATTTATTTAGATGCTGATTTGTTTTATTTTATTCATTTTGGTAATACAACTCCACCAGGCATATTATAAGTGCTTAATAAATATTTGTTAAAAGAATGAATAAGTAGATTCAGGGGATCTTGTGAGGTCCATGGAGACTACCTTCAAATTTTTTGATATATATTTTACTTTCTGGGGTGAGAGACCATAGTTTTCTTTAGGTTTTTAAGAGACCTTAACACCCACAAATGCAAGATTAATAATATAATTCTAATAATGACCCAGCAGGTTCTCTCTGGGGCTTCAGTAGTAGCCCATATGACTTCAAATGTTCATAAATTAGTTACAATGCTAAAATCTGTGCCTATTTACAGATGTTTATCCCCCACGTCCAGACAGGTAATGTGCCAACACCCTAACACACTTCCAGGCAGACCCAAGTTATACATTGGCATGAAAATCCAGTAATCATATTTATGAACCTCAAAGCTTCATATTTGTGGATTTTTAAGAATAAAGTTGATTGTTTAGAAAAATAGAACTTAGCATTTTAAATGACAATGAAAGAACATAGGAAATTTCACTCCAAAATTCAACTCCTTGGTGTGAAGAGTATTTTGAATTACATGCCCATCAAGACCAAGACGAATTGGAAGGGCCTTTCCCTCTATCTGCATAAACTGATCACAGAGCAAAAGGGCAAGCGACTTCCCTTCCTCTCCCTGTCATCTCAATATATTGCAGGAAAAAATGATCAACAATAAAACCATACCTAGCCTAAATTATTTTGAACACAATAGCTATCTCTCAGGTTAATTTATAAATCAATCTGTTTCACCCATCTGTTTGTCCTCCGTAGCACCATGTGTCACCCCTAAACAGAATTCCCTCTTGCACCCTTCCAAAGGCAAACATGAAAATGCCTGAACTTCACTGGGGTATTGAGAGAGCACTCTGTGATTCTCCCCATGTGCATGATAAATAAACCTCTGTCTTCTTACTCTGCCTCAATTACAAGTTGATCTTTCAGTGAACTATGGGTGAAAAAGTGAGTTTCTCCTCATCCCTGTGGTTTGACTTAGGCTGCAGGATCTCAAGGCCACTTTGCTCTCCTGAAAGCCAAAGTGAGGAAGGTTGGAACTCCAACCCGCCGGCCACTGGAAAGACACCTAACTCACCGGTCAGACTCCTGGTTTTCCTCTCTGTGAGCTCCAGTTGAGTAGATGGTAAATGACCACCATCCTTTCCAAATTTAAGATTAATGAGACAAAGGGTCTTTGGGAGTGACTAGTCTTGTGAGCAACTCTTATATTGGTGGGTTTTGTTTTGGTTTTTTTGGCATTTTGTAATATGAACATTCATATTGTTTGATGATCCTCTCAGCAATAGTCGTTTGGTTTTGTTGTTCACTCTTATCGTTGTCTTTCTGCGTCATTTTATCATAAAGAAGGTTACCGTGGGGTAGAACTAGGGCCTCCCACCCCATAAGCCCCGCATTTGGGCAGCCCTGCAGGCTGCCAGCTACACGGGCCTGACTAGACTGGTGTCTATTAAGGCCAACTCTGCTGCAGGTCCCCCCCAACCAAAAACCATATGAGGTTCCCCTCACCCAGTTTCCTGCCTCTGAGCTGAACTTGCGACTGTGTAGTATTCTCTCCTCAGCTTTGTCATCCAGGGGACATGTTTTTTGGGGGACACATCAATGGAACACATCAATATGAAAAGGGTGGGAGTTCAAGACCCGTAAGATTCTAAGCTGCACATTCTTTGTACAGAACGTGTCAAGCTCAAGGAGGAAACCCTCATCTCAAAATATCCTACCCTTTTTGTTATCCTGTCTATTTCTAAGAGTAAATTTGTTAGAATTTTGGAAACTGCTTTTTCTGTGCCCTGTCCAGACTAAGCCTAAAAAATTACCACCTGGATTTTCTATGAAGAGGCACTGTATTGAGTTGCTTTAGGAACACATATCCCATTGGTATTAATGGCCTAAAATACTTCTAAATTTAAATAATATATATATAAATTTTAGAGATCTCCTTTTGAAATAATTACCTTTTTTTGTAGTAACATAAAAATTAGATAAAAAAAAAAAGACATGTCATTGTCTGCCTACCCTTAAAAGTTCTCTGGACAAAATTGAAGAGCAAATATCTAATATAAAACAGAGATAAAAATTCCCTTGAACACCACTCCTATAGAAATAATGGAAGAGGCCAGAAAACAGAAACTGGTGAGCTGTTTCTCCAAGAAGCTGAACTCAGTGGCCCACAGGTCATCAAGGTGTTCACATGCTCCCTTCTTCCACACAGAGTGATAAAGGACCTTCCTCCATATCAGAGGTAACCCATGCGTAGGCAAAGCCCTATACCTGGAGTGGAAAATGCACATATCCTAGAATGGATACAGAAACCATGAAGTGGTATCAAGTCCTGCTCACTTGCCTCCAGGTAAGGGTAGCTTCTAGAAGCAAGCACACATTAGGGCCCTATGAAATAGTTTATAGGAGATGCTTCCCAGCTCCCTGAGTAGGAAGAGCAGGGCAAAGCAGCAAGTCAAATGCCTGGGGTCAAATGTCAGCCACTATGCCCAAGTCAGCCTCCTTCTGGTCCTGGCCCCCACTGAAAGCAGAGAAGTTGAAGGGACAGGGCCTCTAACCACTCACTCCTATTGAAAGTGTCAGGAGTAAAACTTTTGGGTTCGTCATATCAGAGTAAAGAGATGTCACGGAAGGCAAGGACCCCTGTCCCACTCCCACTGGGTAGTACTTCAGGTGATCTAAACTATCTATGTAAGAGGAAGGAGGAGTGAAAATGTTGGTATTTTTTCAGACCTTTCCTTGACTATTTGTTCTGTTTCTAGGATTGAGGGACAACTCCTTAGTAAGATGTTGCCAGGCTATCACCTCTCCCTGTGATCTGTCTTACTGCTGGGCTTGCTATCCTAAACCTGGTTTGGTGCCAGTATTCCTGTCTTCCTCACACGAGTTTTGAATTTGCAGAAGCCACTCTCTCAGATCACCTACAGCAGTGGTTCCGACCATCTTAGCACCAAGGATTGGTTTCATGGAAGACAATTGTTCCATGGACTTGAGTGGGCAGGGGTAGAGTAGATTTACATAAAAAGTGGTCAACCTAGATCCCTGGCATGAACAGTTTAAAAAGGGTTTGTGCTCCTCTAGAGGGTAACACTGCTGCTATGACAGGAGGAGCTCAGATAGTGATGCCAGAGACTGGGGGAGGGAAGGAGGGAGGAGGAGAGGGCAGCTGTAACACAGGGCGAGCTTCACTCACTCTCTGCTCACCTCCTACTGTGCACCACAGTTCCTAGTACTCCAGCCCTACAGCATGGGACTAAGAACTCCGTCCTCAGAGGTCACCCCATGCTGACTGGACATCGTGTGCAATCCTCCTCCATTTCTCCTTGTCAAGCCCCTTGATTACAGTCATTGCTTATGACGCCATTGCTCCTGGTAATCTGTCCCATTCTTTATTTTTGTAAATCTACTGCCTAAGCCTTATAATGGCATAAATACAAATGCCCATCTGAAACATCGCCCAATTCAGCAGGACGCGTGATGACGATGTCACCCCTCCTCCCACAGACATGGAAGGATAAAACTGACAGCCGAGAACATGGAACACAGGCAAAGGCCCGAAAGAGAGCAAAACTGTTTTACCAGCTGTCTCTTTGAAACACAGAAGAATATTCTGGTTTTTGTACCACTGGAGATGGCTCAATGGAATTGTCCAGGCAGAGGTCATGAGATGGTGTTCTCTGGAGATGGAGTTGGGCAGGACCATCAACTATAGTTAAATAGCAAGAGCTTGGACTTGATTCCACCCCCTTTAAAACCTTAAAAGTGTGTATTTGTTGGTTAGGATGTTGGTACTGTAACAACCTCCTCCTTTGTCAGCAAATTGATAAACTTCACTTTCCTTCTCTTCAAACCACATACCATTCTTCTGATGTAGCCTCGGGGCAAGTGCCCAAAGTTCAGTAACACCCTGCAATAGTACTGCTAACACATTCTTCTTTCTGCTGGCTTTATTCCTTCAATGTTATAACCTTTCATGCCTTTATTACAAAAATAAACTTTTATTATAGAAAGTTTGAACTCAGAAAAGCAACTTGTTCATCACTGGTAATTCTATTACCCGATGGGAGCACTTGGCAGTCTGCTCTGGGAGGCTTCTTTCCACGCACCATAGTCATTCCTGTATAGATGGACACATATTTGCAACATGGAAAAAAATTGCCACCGCCTTTGGTTCTCTGAAAGTTTAAAGTATTGTACACAATGCCAATGAAATTTTCTAGTGTACAAAAATGAGAACCAAAGAACAATCAAATTAGTCTATTGAGCAAATAGACATTTAAAAAGGTCTTTGAAGAAAAGAGGGCTATCAGTCACAGAACTGGTTAGTCCTTGATTTATACCTGATCTGTTCTTATTTTGTACAATGTCATTTGCTTGGTTGCTCAGAATAACGGCTACAGGTAGCTACATTGACAACAATGAAATGGAAACGTGATGAAAATAGGAAAGAAAAAACCATAAAGAGATGGATTGAAATATAAAAAAGCAAAGCAACATGAAGCGGTGTGTATGGGAGCAAATTGCCCCACACAACTAGCTCAGTTATTCACAACATCACGGTTTTACAGCCACCATGATAAAAACCCTGAGAAACAACTAAGAGAAGAACTGTGGCCAAGTCTCTGATGCAGGTAGCAAGACGCGGTCTGGGCAGTTAAAGGAGGAGGGGAGCATAAAGTTTTAGCTCCTGGAAATATTTGGCTTTGTAGGAAGGAAGATCCATATTGGAAGGATCACTGTTTGAGCTTTATGGTTAAAATAATGGCTTTTATATTCAGAAGTAGTTGTCTACAAATGACTAGTTAAAGATCTGATAGTGAGTTCAAAGACTGACTCAGAGAAAACGTGGATGGACTCTTTAATCACAGTACTGTCCCTTGTGTTTGATTAATGAAGACAAATTAGCAGCCTAATTTAAAGATCAGCATATAGGTAGAGGGAAAAATGAAGGTAATTATTGGGTTGGGACCAGAATTTAGCAAAAAGAAATGTGTTCAAATCCAAAGGAATTGAAATAGAGAAATCTTAGTAGTGATTGCCTGGTTTCCTTTTTGTGATCCTGCATCTAAAACCTGAGCTCAGGTCTCAGTCAAATAGGGTGGGGCCTACACCCCACAGAAACCAACCCCCAAAGAGAGAAATTTCTGAGCCAGTCTTATTTGTTCTGCTTGGGTGTTAGGTACAAAATTAAAAAGAATGGGATTCTCAAACCACGTTGTTTCATATACAACTTGTAAATAAACAGAAATGTAGAATTATAAGTCCCTTTGGTAAAATAAAGTAGGATGAGGTCATCTGCCATCTTGCGTTCACCATACTGGGCCTCCCTTCAAGGTGACTTCACCCATTCCATTTCAAACATCAGTTGCACAATAACTCACTTGCTAAAATTACAATAATTCAAAGAAAAATTACCTTTAAGGTTGTTTTGAACTTCTAAAGCTATATCAAGAGCATTAAAGGGCAGGACTGGTTCATTGGCAATTCGCAAAATCACTTCTCCAGAGAGCTGAAAGAAAAAAGAAAAAATGCGAGAATTCAGTAATGAAGAGTTTTTGTTTGTTTTTGTTATTTCATACACTTTTATATATCCAGAGCATTAAAAATACAGAGGAAAAATATAATGTTATAAAATAGTTTTCTTTTTGTAGAACCCTTTTTTCATTTTCTCTTTCTTTAAAGAAAAAGCCTCAGTATCTATTTAATATCTCAAAAGAGTATAAAGGAATAATATATTCTTCCTTTTTTGAGCTAAATATTTCAATATTTACAAATGAATTCCTTACTTGAAGGAGTTGTAATATTTAGACTTTAGAGCAATTCTTTACAGTTGAGGATATCACATGATCAAAACGGAGAATTGAAATCAATGTCTCATTATTGGGTTAATTAATTAATCCAAACAAAATTAATGGTCAATTTATTTCATTTCAAACATAATTTAATCTGAAAAAGTGTTTAAAATCTTATGTACTATTTTCCTTGGAATATAATATTGTGTATATAATACAGTATCAATTAGGAATAATTTATTCAATTCCTAATTTTTTTTTATCTTGTACTGTTATTTTGTTTTATTTTGTTTTGTTTTGTTTATTTCAGGCTCCTTTATTCCATGAATATTTACAGAACATCAACTATAGGCAGAACATTGACATAATCATTGAAAATAACATTGGGGCAAATATATCAATTTTATGAGGAAACAAAAGCGTTATCTACAAATCAATTATGAGATAAGTGTCCTCATTACCACCACTCCTAGTAAAGTTGAAGATCCTAACCTCAATTCCTAATTATTTTTCTAAAATTTATCAAAAATAATATAATTTGTGTATCTTAAATTTAAAAATCAATGAAATTTTAAACAGCATCTCCAAGGCTTACACTTGGAATTTTTTTACACGCTTATCTCCACACCACTGCACTCCAAAACCGTGTCTGAAAACGGCCATATGCACTGCAGCTGAGCTGGCATCTGCTTAACAGGCTGAACAAGTCACACGCATTCACACACCTCTCAGAGGGCCTCAGGGCTGCCATCAAATGCCATTGTTATCTGTCCCTCTCTCCAACAAGTGATATTTAATATTTACCTGGGATTAACAAATGCTGCTACCTCTCTTATACCCCTAAAGCCAGCACACAGGAAAATGTGATTGTGTTGATATTATTAAGGCACCATGACATGCGGTTAGTGAGTGAAAACATGGTCTTGTGAAACCAGAGGAGGAAAATTAGCAGGGTTACATGACACTGTGTAACTCACAAGGAAACGGTGGTTTTAGTTATTCAAATCTTTATACTCAGAAGGAGTCAAATTTCATTCATTATCAAAAAGTCGCATTTCTCAATTGTTTGAGCAATTCCTATCATGATAAAAATACAATTCAATTTGATCTTCTTGTATGTGCTTGGGAAAGTGTATGTCTTAAAATAAAGAGCAGATACCCCCTTATTCCTTTGAGATCTTTTTCTTCCAAATCCAACAGCCAATTCTCCTTCTCAGGTATATTTGCAGAGTTTTATCCCCAACGTTGGGACTCAGGAAACAAAGCCTCAAAATAAGGTGCTTTGACATACTGAGCGGAAGCAGCAGCCGTAAGTCTCTATGACCTTCCCTGCCTTCCTCAATCCTTCGTCTCTCTCAAAGCATAGATGAGGCTGTTCCCTGAAGTTCCGTTATGCACTTAATAACCCTAAACCCCCAAAGAGGCACACAATTGCCTTCGGTACCCTCCCTGAAATCTCATTATCTATCACAGAAAGACGGGAGAACGCACCCACCCTTAGGTGGACTGTACCAGGCAGTGTCTGTCTCTTGGGCTAATTCAAATTCCAACAGAATCATTTACAAGGTAACTTTTGTCTCCAAGGTCCATTCATCCTCCCTGATATTCATTTACTGATTCCTTCATTTCTGAAAAAAAAAATTGTCTACATTCTTCATCTCTCTCCTTCCTTATGAAGAAAGGAATGTCAGTTTCTCTATAACCCCCTGAGTTTGGGGGGGTAATCATTCTCCCAAGATTCTCTCACACTATGTACATTAAAATAGATTTTTATGCCTTTTCCCTTTTGTTTTTATTATATATATATTTTTAGTTGGGGCTGGGTTTGAACCCTCCACCTCTGGCATATGAGGCCAGTGCCCTACCCTTTTGAGCCACAGGCCCCACCTAGCCTTTTCCCTTTTATTAATCTGCCTTTTGTCAGTTCATTTCCAGAACATTCCGGGGACCGAGGGGAAGCTTTCCCTTAGCAATCGCACCAATCCTGAGAAGCTGGCAGCCCTGAGGATGCTGGACTTCAGGGGAAGGGAGTTGTCTGCATAAATTGATATGAGCCTTCTTTATTCCATCCTACTCCTTCCAAAGCATGCCAAGGACACTGATATTTGGAAATAAATTATTTGTAAAAAGGAATTTTAAAAGAAGATTAAGAAGCAATATGATTTATTCTTCCAATTTGCACTGGATGATAGAAACCGCAGAACAGACATGTTTTGTTTACACTTTTAGAATCTGAAAACCACACATTTTAAAAGATTAAAATGAAAGAAAGGGGAGGAAGGAGAAGGCGACTTTTCGGTGTACTGCTGGAGAAAGCTATTTTGTTCTCTGGGGTTTTTTTGCTGTTTTTTAAGAGTCGTTTGGCAGCTTGAACAACTGGAACATAAGCCAACTACCTTGCTATTTATTTCAAAAAGAGCCTGGCAACAAAGATTGGGACTTCCAAGGCACCTGGCCCATTACAGGATGCTTAGACTAAATCCGGCTTCCTTTTGCAGCTTTACAATCAATAGAGAGATTTGTACGCCCCTTGCTGACAGAGGGAAGAGATGGGCCACTCTGCTCACTCTTCTTACCTGCTCTGAAACTGCCTTCCCAGGCATGCCAGAGGAGCTTTTGCTTAAATTTATACGAGGCCTTACTTTTTTTAGAAAATGTCTTACACTTATATATATCATTTCATTGTCCTAACAACCCTAGAGACAGATGGTGGGAAATTAATATTCCGTGTTTAAACGTTGAGGATCCGCCACACTGAGAAGACATGGTTAAGGATAACGGCAAAGGTAAAACACCAGTTTCAACAATTCCTCAGTGCCTAGTCTGTATCAGAGGCTGCTCACGAATCTTCAAACATCATTCTCTTTAATTCTCACAGCAGCCCAGCAAAGCAGGCATCATTATGTTCAGATTGAACGTGGAGGTACCTGGGCACACAGAGATTTGGGAGCTTACGTGAGTCACACACCTGAGTATAACTGATGTGAAGGCCTGTGCTAGCCTTTGTTCTAACATGTGACACGTGTTAGAATCTAGCAAAAGTATCTCAGTTGGTTATTTTTAGAGAACTAACTCTGGACTAGAAATCCTTTGCATTTTGTCCACTGTTCTTTCCGATATACAAACATATTTCCTGCTGGAGAAAAAGCAAAAGAAAAAAAACAAACCCTGTTCCTTTTAATATCTGCCGGTACTTGGAAGATCTTACCTCAACCCCGGATGGCTATGTTATTAGGATACCTGTGGCACATAGCATCAGCAAATAACTAGTTTTAATTCTATTAAATTCCATTATGATAACTTGAAAAACACATATTCTGCCTGAAGATGCCTGTGTCCCGCCTTCTCCTCCTCCTATTCTCTGATCATCCCACCCTGGTTAGAAAGAAGATAAAGGAAGAATGAAATACAAAGAAAAAAGTATGTACATAACTAAAATTACTTATAAAAGGCTAAAGGATGACTATACGGAACATGAGTTAATGAACTCGGCATTGCAGAGGCTCTGCTCTCTCTGGATAACAGCCATGTCCCTGGAGTCAGTGGTTTAATCCCCCTCAGGAAAGTTCTGACGGCCAAGGCTGAACACTGCACAGAGAGCCTTCCTCTAATAAAGGCGAAGCATGGTTATCCCATACAAAACGTCTCTTTCTTTAGCCTGAAATAATTTTAGTTGTATTTAAAAGTTCAAAAAAGTATTTTAAGAAAACTTAAACTTAGTACAGGGAAACAGACACACATTTTTTTTTCTTAAATTTAGTAAATAATCCGTTGTCATGTTGACTTACAAGGAGGGTATTCATATTTTATGACTTTGCCACAAATCTTTCTCTTACTTGCCACATAAATTTAAAATGAAAAAAATACATATTTATTACTAAACTGTGAGTATTTAGAGAATAGGGTGATTTTTCTCCCTTTAAATATTGTACCCATTGCCCAGTCTGGTGACTGTACTGGCAATAAATGTTTGGAATGACCATATCAGGCCTGGACAATGCAGGAGGCTGCACGTGGGCTCATCCGGGCTGCACCAGTCCCACGGGGCTCTACTGTGATTTCTCTTCAGTTATAAGCAGAGGTGAACACAGTGTGCTTTGTTCTGGTTTTATAAACCCACATTAAAGTAACGTGGGCCATACCTTTTACTTAAGCTGAAAGTTAAACTATCATTGTGGGATTCTTTTTGTTTGTTTTGTTTTGTTTTCCACTCTATCACCCTGGTAGAGTGCCCCGGCTTCATCCTAGCTCACAGCAACTTCAAACTCCTGGGCTCAAGCAATCTTCCTGCCTCAGCCTCCTGAGTAACTGGAACTACAGGTGCCCACCACAACACTCTAGTTCAGGGGTCCTCAAACTTTTTAAACAGGGGGCCAGTTCACTGTCCCTCAGACTGTTGGAGGGCCGGACTGCGGGACCTGGGATGAGTGAGCTGCTAAGCAGGTCAGGCAGCAGTGACAAAAGCATCCAGCGGGCCAGATAAATGTCCTAGGCGGGCTGCATGTGGCCCGTGGGCAGTAGTTTGAGGATGCCTGAGTCTAGTTTTTCTATTTTTAGTAGAGATGGGGTCTCACTCTTGCTAAGCTGGTCTAGAACTCCTGAGCTCCAGGGATCCACCCACCTCGGCCTCCCAGAGTGCTGGGATCATAGAGGTGAGCCCCTGTGCCTGGCCAGTGTGAGACTGTATTTGTGTTCTCTATCAAATTTAAAATGCAGT